TTCCGAAATAAACGATTCGAGAGACCGCAGAAAGTCATGCAAGCGCCGCGGCGCTGCCCGCAAAGTGAAATGCAAAACGAAAATAAAAACCCAAAACCCAAAAACCGAAAACCGAAACAAACTGAAACTCAAAAAGTTGAGCAATGATCAGCAACAACAACAGAGAAAGATTGACCATTGGCTGGTCAGCAGTTTCAGATTCAGGTGAAGCGTTTTGGCCAAAAACCAGAGTATGCAATGCATTTAACACTTTCAACACACAACCAGCAACAACAAAAAATAGAGATACAACAGCTACAGCTACAGATACCAATAATAACAGCCAGATACAAAGAAAGAAAGATTGGCCCAATGGGGCCCAAGTCGCGGCATTGAGTTACCCCAGGAAATTTTTGGAGGTCTGTAGCAAATATTATGAAGTTCAGCTTAAAAATTAAAAACTATTAAAAAATATTCAGAACAAAAAAAATATAATAATAAATATAAAAAAAAAAAAATAATAATGAAAGAAATTTCTACAAAATTGTTACACAGACAGAAGCTCGTCAAATATCCAATATCAGAGAAAAACCATCTTTTAATTATATATGTGTATATAAATGCTAATAGTATATCTATGCACACCCCCTGTTACAGGGTATTAAATGCCTTGCAATCTTCTGCGTACAAGAGTAAAAACAATTCGCTTTTATAGGTGATTCATCTGAGCGGCAGGTTTGGCTTATTGGTTTTTTTTTTGGCTGCTTTTTGGGTGCGGGCAGGCGGGTGCTTACAGTTTTCCAGCCACTGTGAAACTTTCTTTTTACGAAATATTTATGAAGAAATTCACAGCAAACAAAAAGCGAGCGAGAGAGAGAGGGAGAGGCAAAGAAGAGAGAGTAAATAGTTAGCAATGCTAGTTGGAGTAGGAGGGGAAGTGGAGTAGCAGGGGAAGTGGAGTAGTGGGGGAAGTGGAGTAGAAGGGGAAGTGTTGCTCGTGTTGTGGGCGTGTTAACCACTTCCATGGGCGCCCCGTGCCCCACCCCACCCGCAGGCCCAACAACGTGATTTTTGTCTTTTTGCCTAATGAATTTATTTCTTTCCTTCCTTTCTTTTCCTTTTCTTACGTTATTTTAATCTTTTTTTTAAACACAACATTGCGAGCAATTTCGTTTAGAAACTTTCTTTCCCAGCAGCAAACAGAAAAAAATACGAATAAAAACCGGAACCAAATCTCAAATCTTGGAATATATCTTGAGGGCATATCATCATCAGCGATGTCTGTCTGTCTGTCTGTCTCACATCTCTTTATTGTTATGATTATTATTTTATTATTTCTATTTCTTTTTACCAGTTTTTCTTCTTCTGCTGCTGAAGTTTGGACACGCACGCGATTGCCGAGATGCTGAGAGCCCAAAACCTTGGCCAAATACATATCTTTGAGCCATTTGTCTCTCTCGTTCAGTCTTGGCCGAATTTGAATTTGAAATTTTGTTTGTCTCTCTCCACAAAGAATCAAAGAAATCTCAGCCACACACAAAAACAAACACAAATTCAATTAACAACAAAAACCATAAAAAAAGTGACGGAAAAACAAATGAGATTTAATTATTAATTGAACTACGAGAGTCAAGGCTTTTCACTCGGCTACATTTACATACAGCTCGCAGCTCGCAGAGAGATCTAAAGATACTTTATGTACGTGTATACACGTATGTTTATGTATATGAGATATCTAAAAGATATTTTTTTTTTATATTTTATTGCTTATTGTTTGTCTTGGCAAAATAAGGTCAAGTGGGCTGCGATCCATTCGATGATTATGATGATTTTTGGCAGCACATCAATCTGAGAGGCTGCGAGTGCCAGAAGTGCGGGTGGTGCATGAGGGAAACACCCGTACCCATACCCAGCTACAACATACAACATACAAGATGCGCAGTTACCAGAACAAGGTTGCGGCTTGGAATTGGAAACTTGAGAAATGTGATGGATCCATTATTTATGATTAATTGCTTTTGTAAGTTATTCTTGGAGTCTCCAAAAAAAAAAAAAGATTTCTTTTATGGCTTTTTGGCTCTTTTTTGCTGCCGAGGAGCGCTGCTGCATGACGCGTGAGCTGCCGAAAATGAGTGTAAGTTCTGCTTTCACTTTCTTGCAGATATTCTCTGCAATCTTTTATATTTTTAAAGTTTTACAATCACGAATCTGCACACCCTCTCTAACCCTTGCAGTTTGTTGGCTACCACACCCATTATTTTGCGGTTCATTGAACCAACCAACAAAAAAAAAAAACGAGACATAAAAACCTACGACACTGCGACAAGCCATTTGTCATCTTTTGTGGGGATGCCCCTAGGGGCTGACACCTGGGTGACCAGGTCGCCCACCACTTCGCCGCCGACTCCACCTACCGTTTTTATTGTAGCTTTACTGTAGCTGTAGCTGGTGGCTGGTGGCCTGGTGGCGTGTGTGTCTTGTGTGACACTTTACAAGGCGACAAACAAAGAAAGAAATGAACTTTTTCGCACTTGATGGCCATTAATTTCTCGTGTGGCATGCCCCGGGAGCTCATCTTACTGTCATTACAGTTGCTGTTGTGCTTTACTGTTGTGAACTTTGACAGGGATTTGGCATTGCGTGACCTGCAGACATGACAGCAGCAGCAGAGGAGTAAAACCTTTTTCTGCCAAGAGCCTTAGAAGCAAAAAGCTATTGGCTTAAAGCCTTCGATCTGTTGATTCATGGAATGTTTGTGCAAAAAAAAAAATACAAAAAAAATATAAAACACGTTTGCGGCTCAATGAAAATGTCAAATGAGTGATCCGCTTATGAGGGGCAGAGGCAGCAGCCTTGGTTATGGATCGCAGCGGCCTATGCCTATCAAATGTGTATCTTGCGACGTATCTTTGTAGCTGTGTATCTGTATCTGCAACGCATCAGTGAGCAAAACATTGGCAGCTCTTGGGCTGATGGTTTTTCATTTCTGTGTCAGTTAATTTCCATGGCATTTCCATAGAAAAAAAAAAAACCTAGAGAGACACAAAACGCTTTTCACACACACAGAGACCAGAGACCGACCAGAGACAGGCGCTTTTCTCGCGCCAGCGAAAGTTGGCAAAGCGAAAAGCCCGAAATAACAATGCTTTTCCGGCATGCCACAAGCGAAAGAGATGGAGCTAACCACAAACAGACAGAGAGAGTGGGAGAGAGAGAGAGAAGCATACTGGAGTTTCTATTGAAAAAAGAGCTCCTCTACACATTGTATTGAAACTATTACAAGGTTGTTTGGGGCTGCTTTTCGGGCTGTTTGCATTTCAAACTGGGCATAAATTAAAGCTCCTAAGGTCGTTGCTTAGAAGAGCTGGCAAACAACAGTTAGACAGACAGAACGGCACAAAAGCAGTTAACACTCAACAGAACACAAAGAACAGAACACAACAGATGGGGGGGGAGGTGGAGCTGGCAGATACAACATAATTTACACATCGCCAAGTGGAAGAGTTAATCACCCGAAGATACAACCTGTCGTAGACACATAAAAGATTCAAGTGGGAAACAGACGCTTAGATAACTCCCAGATTGATCTTCATTTTGCTCTTTGCTTTGCTCTTCGCATTCTCTCTAGAACCAATTCGAATGATCATTTCTGGGGAGTTCTCTGTTCTGTTCTTTGTTGGCATGCTAATCACACATCCACATCCACAGCCAGTCTTTGGTCTCGAGCACACACGCCTTATGCCTCACGCCTCATGCCTTATTCCCTCATTCATAAATAATTTGCTGTTAATTTTTATAATTTTGCGGCAAAGTAATTTTTGCCCAGGCCAATTGTAAGCAATGTTTTCCGCTTGTCAGTTATGGCAGGGGGGCAGGGGGGGCAGCAACACAAAACTGAAAGTTGAGCTGACCAAACAAGTTAACTGGTTTCTGTGCTGTGGCTTAAACAAAAGGCCCAGCATTTTGTTTCCGCTGGCAGCCCAAGATCTCAATTGAAGCTCAGGCTTGGATTTGTCGTTGGATTTAGTTGCAGCAGGGGCTTAAGGCTTACACTGGAATTAGACGCTTTGTTCTAAGAGTCACTCTCAATGCAATTTTTTAGAAGGTCTTTTGGCAGAGTTCTCTGTGGGGTAGAGCTATCAAATGATAACAGAAAACTAAGCCAAGGCAAAAGAACACAAGAAGACAGGCAGCTAGATGTAATGAGAGCTAACAAAAGACAAAGACACTTAAGAGAGATGAAATAAGAGAGTGGATATGCCATAAAGATCTTAGCTGGTAATATCTAGTGCTGAAAAATTCAACTAATTAGTAGGGTAGGAATATCTAAACATACAACAGAAGTTGATCTTTAAAGTTCGATTGAACTAATCCATCAATGAGTATAGCGAAATGAAACTTGTACCGCGACAAAAGTAGAAATATAATAGAATAGAAAGGCATTTAAAAACCAACGTAATAAATTAATCAAAGTACGCATCTGCAAGTAGAGTTTCAATCGGTTTTTATCAGACGTCTGACTCGACAGAAAACGTTCCTACTGATAACTAAAATCATCTTAGTTTCAATTTTGATCTTGAATCTCTTGAGGGCACTCCAGAAAGCAATTCAAACACTTCAAAAAAGTGGGGCATAGATCGCATATGTAGATCCAGATCAAGGGTACAGCCGGACGCAGACAGACTGCACTGGGACACCTTTGTGTGCGAGTGCCGTATGCCATTGAACGTACGGACATTCCCGCAATCAGTCAACGGCATACACATTTTTATGGTGCCTGGCTGGCAGAATAAAAAAGTGAAACGTCAGGACAAAGCGGCAGACAAAAAGGGGAAGGCAAAGCGGCAGCGGTAGCCTATCGGTCGTATAGCTCTAATAATAATAATGCTGCTAGAGTCTACGATTGTAAATCTTCAACTCTATCAAGCGATTTGATAACGATAATTGATAAACGATCTACTTTAGAGCAGAGCAGAGCAGAGAAGCGCGATTAGAGCCAGCCTATAAAAAGCAGTGCACGAGCCATTAGAAGCACAAACCAAAACACAAAACCAGTAGCCAACATGAAACAATTTGTGGTGTTCTTCGCCCTGGTGGCCGCCGTAGCCGCCAACACGATCGCCCAGCCAGGATTTCCCGAGGGACGCATCATCAACGGCTATGAGGCGCTGGCCGGCGAGGCACCTTACATTGTCTCGCTGCAGACCACAGCCGGATCCCATTTCTGCGCTGGATCGCTCATCTCCGCGAAGTGCATTGCGACTGCCGCCCATTGCCTGACCTATGCGAACTCCCTGGCGGTGGCTGCAGCCCACGGCCGCTCCAGCAAGGAGGACACTCAGGTGCGTCAGATCAGCAGCAGCGACCACATCGTCCACGAGAACTACAGCGGCGGCGTGGGACCCTATGACATCGGTCTGATCATCGTGAAGACGCCCTTCAACCTGAATGCCATCGCCCGCGACGGCAGTGCGCCCGTGGCCAGCATCGCGCTGCAGCCCAAGAAGCTGGAGGGCTCCACCGATGGCACCCTCTACGGCTGGGGACGCGACAACTCCGGCGCCCTGCCCGAGAAACTCCAGAAGCTGGATGTGAACATCATCGACCATGTCCAGTGCAAGGCCGCCCTGCCCGCCAACAGCAAAGTGGCCGATTCGAATGTCTGCACCTACACCGCCGGCACCTCGGATGGCGCCTGCAACGGCGACAGTGGCGGGCCACTGATCATCCGCTCCACCGACGGCACTGCCTACCTCATTGGCATTGTCTCCTGGGGCTACACGCCTTGCGCTTCCACCTACTATCCATCGGTTTACACCGAAACGAATTCGTATCTGGACTGGATCGCTGAAAAGGTGGCTGCTGTCGAGAACTAGGCAATGACCTTTCCTGTACGAGTATCCATAATAAACGAACATTTTGTGCATCCCAGAAAGGGTGTGGTAAAGAAAGTAACATCTTCGTTCTTCGATCAGGGGAAAATTTGTTCTAATAACTATTATTTTTGTGTAGTTTATCCGTGTAAAGTGATTCCCCCCATAGCTCTTAAGTTTCCATGCGAATTTATTTCTTAAATTTAAAGATTTATCCCCATGATGATTACTGATCAATCTGCCAATAGCCAATGGAATCATCCATCGTTTAATTACTTTTCTGGACTTCTTTATCGCATAACTTCCCTGCCACACCTAATTCTGAATTCCACTTGACTTAAATTCCCATTCCCCAATTTCCATTTCCCTAGAACTGAACTCTGTCTCTCCCTCTGGCTCCAATTGGCCTCTCCACTTACCCTGACCCTAATGCGCTTAACCCGCTTTCAATAACTGTTGCCCATTTTGGCCAGAAGCGTTTTCGATAATGGCCCAAATGGCTCTGGGGACTGCGTTAAGCTCTTTTTTTTTTGTTTCGGCGCTGGGAATAATTATCCACAGCTACTGCTATGAGCATTTGTGGCAACGACATTTAATTAGTCTAAGAAGTTTTTTATATGCTTTCGCACATTATTAACCCATTAGTGCCGAATGGAAATGGAATATTTGCGCGCTCTCTCTTAAATCGTGGTAGCCAGAGAGAAGGAGAGAGAGAGAGCGAGGGAGAGTGGGGGAAGTGCTGGGCAAGTGTTGAGGTCATCACAATTAGCTAAGAGGCGCGCCCCTCCCTCTTTTTTTTTTTAGCTAGAAATAATTTGATTACGAGTGCAGCTATGACCTCAGCGTGTAATGGAAAAATAATTAAACAACAAAAAAAGTTTTTTTTTTTTTTTTTGCGCAAGTTTTTATAACTTTTATACGGTGTTTTTTTTAGCCACCTGCTTCTGGCCAACGCGTGCCAGGTGAAAGGCAGCGAAAGAGAGAGACAGCGACTGACCGCAAAATATAAAATTTCAAATTGGCAGCTGGCCGCACAGACACCTCAATATGGGCCACAAGAAGTGAGCCACACTAAAAGGTAATAATTAATAAATAAAAAAGAAATACAAAATACACACACACGCAGAAAAAAGCCGAAAGCGTAAAATAAATAAATCCAATTTTTCGGGCCGGAAATTCAAACCGAAACCGAAACCACAGAGCCCGAAAAGAGCGAGCATAATGCATCCTTCCGCTTGTGTTTCCTCTCCCCTGTCTCCCTCTGTCATCCTCAGCGCTTCCTGTCCAGCTGCCAAGGGGATGATTGAGCGGCTCGGCTCGCTCGCTTGTCCCTTGCGCTTCCTTCCTGTACAGCAGTTGGACAATCCCGCAGCATGACGTCACTGAGTTTCTGGGTCATTCTTGGACTCCGTTTCCGGACGCTCCACCACAGACAACATTACTATTATTGACATTTGTTCGGGCCAAAATGGGTGGCAACCCTAGGACACACAGAGTTGCACGACAATCGAATTAATGATTGGGTTTCCCTTTTTCCGCGCGCTCTAATTCCACTCCCTAGCCACCCCACCCCTGCCATGACAATGTGTGTTTATAAGCGGCGATTATTATTTTATGACACGGCCACAATGACGGGGCAAAGTCAAAGGAAATGATAGGGAGGGAGTACGGTGGTTGGGGCACATGTAGTGAGGCGGGGGGCGTGACAGGGACACGTGTCACCATTTCCAGGACAGTACTGTCAGAAACATAAAGTGGGGCAGCAATTGCGTGTGTGCGACTTGGAGTGGAGGCAATCATAAATCTCCATTTGAAGGAATTTAAAATTCATTACAGTTTTACATGCAGCAGGCACTACAAATGCAGAGATGGTTTGACATTCATTGAAGCAGAGTTTCAGTTGCAAAGCCATTGCTGTAGGAACTCGCTCGCTCTCCTCTCCTTACAGTTTTACATTCCCTGCTGCTGCTGCGGCTGCACTTGTCAGTTTTGCATTCACATGCAAGAGGAGTGAAGCGAGAAAAAATAAACGAACTAAAAATAAAAACCCGCTTACTGTCATCTGGCATCTGAAATGTGGTACTGCTGCCAGGCCTGGCCTGGGCCTGCCAGCCATGCCATAAATTTTAAGCCATTGCCAGACATTTTTATTAATGACGCAACAGAGAATTCTTCGCAGAGCGAAAGAGAGGGAGAGAGACATGTGGAGAGATCTCACTCTTATGCAAACAAGTGGCAAATGTCCAAAGACTTGATTTCCTTCTCCCTCCGCTCTCAGCTCCTTCGCTGCCACTCCTCCTTCAAGTCAAAGTCTGGTCTCAGTCTCAATCTCAAACGCTGTCGCTGTCGCTGCCTCTGTCGTTGTCGTTGTCTCTGTCATTTCTAGAACCAACTTGCATAATTACAAGCTACATTTAAGAGAGGGTAAGGTGACTGATATTTGGCCAAGCTGCGTACCAGATGCACCTGTATACCGACCCTATGCTTGACATAATCAAAGGCGACGATGCGGGGCCACCCTGACGGCTGGACTGCCTTACCTTCACTTTAATCTGGCTTGCTTAATTACAAATGCAGGCAGAGACACAACAGCAGGCAAAAAACGGTCATTGCAGTTAGCTTTGGGTTACCGTTAGCTCCAGCGCATGCAAAAAGGAAGGAATGAAACAGAAACGAAACAACAAAATTACTGCAAAATACTGCAGTAGCAGTAGCAGCAGCAGCAGTAGAAGCAGCGGGCAGGCAGAGCAGAGTAGAAGCTGCAGAAGGAGAGGGAGAGAGCAAAGCATAGGGAGAGCTTGAGTGGAAGAAGAAGGCAGGCAAGCCAAGCAGCAGCAGCAGCAGTGGGAGAGCACTTGCAAGGTATACTTATACAAGGGTATGCTATGCATATTCCCGCGCGCTCTCTCTCTCTCTCAAGCTCTGTGTCACACGCCACTGAAACCACATGCAATGCAATTATCGTGGGAGAACTCTTTGGTTATGCCTCACCTTTTATAGCAGTGAAAGAGTGCGCGTTTTTTTTGTTCCCATAATCAAAGAGTAACAAAGTTGCCTACTAATGCAATAAAACTTAAGACTCTTTTGTACAGGCTGCAGCAGGGGTGACGGCGAGTTGCAATACTCGTATACCCCCTTACCCAGGCATTGTGTTACTATTATAATTATTTGCCAGGCCATAAATTATGGGAACCCAGCGTAGAGAGACAGCACAGACAGCAGACAGCAGACAGCGTTGCCACATCGCTTAATTACCCAGCGGGCTCCACATCAAAATGTGCGAGTTAAGTTTTTCCTTATGCTATGCCCCCTCCATGGGGTTCAACCTACTCTCTTGGCTCTTAGCGCTTGGCTAATGAAACATTTTGCTTGCAACTTAATGCGGGGTTCATTAAACTTGGCTCATAAAATAACATTTTCAAATGATGTTGATGATACCTTGATGAAGACGATGCCATAATCTGCAAAAAAGTAGACGGGGGCCAAGCCACCTCTTTGTCACAGCTGTCTGTCGATGGGCGCCTAGTACATGGAATGAGGTTATAGCGGAAGAGCTTCCTAGGGATGAGAAATTCCTCTTAATACTAAAACAATAGCAATCCATCAACAGAAGACTCCCTTCCTTTCACTGTATGTATCTCTTTTAATCTATCAAAAAAACTGACCTTGTAACGTTTCAAGTCAATCAATTTCATACGAAATCATAACTTAATTATCATCATCTTTGCAAGTGAATAAACTCCACTCCACATTCAGCTCTCTCTGCCCTCTCCTTGTGTGTATTTGCAGCCCCATTAACTCTTGTACTAATTAATAAACATTTGCTTAATTGCTTAATTAAGATTGCTGCTAAACGCTCGACGATGTCTCAGTTTTCAGTTCAGTTTCCACTCAACCGATGGACAGAGAGAGAGAGACGAGACTTCGACTTCCATCGGATTTCCCTTGGCTTGACTGGTTTTTCCGAGCTAACAATGAATCCATCGCGCCGGCCTAATGTGTGGGCAAACATTCTCCGAATGGTTTGGAACATTGGCCCAAAAGTAATTTCCGTTTTCGGACTCCACTCTGTCTTACCCCCTGTATATCTCGCTATCTCTCTCGATGATGTCAACGGATGTCGCATGTAATTAAAAGTTGTCACAAAAAAGTTGAGCTCCATTGGGCTCCAGTTTTCCCACACAACAACAACAACAAGAACAACAAAAACGGTAACAGCTACGGATACGGATGTGTGGATGTGGCTGTGGCTGTGTGTCTGGGTCTGCTGCGGATACCCCCAGGGTTCGGGCTCAGGGTATCCTCTTTCAGACGTTTCAATCTTGAGGCTTTTGCGGTCAATGTTGCTGCTGTTGCTGCTGCTGCTGTCCCCCCAATCGCTGGGGAAATTAAATGCCAAAGCTTGTCAGCTGTGACAGAAATCGATTCTCGCTGCAGCAGAAAAGTTCTCGATTGCGCTCCATTGAGCACCAGTGAAAGTAAACAAAAGTTTTGGTCATCATAAGCGGGCAGCGAAACCTATGGACTCTTCGTGGCTAATTGGTTGTCTGGCCATCATACCATCAGGTGAACGATTAAGTCGTTGTCTACCTGCAAAACAGAGTCTTCATAAGAAATCTCCATCGGAGTCTCGAGTCTTTAAGCTGCTTAAGAGATAAACAGTGAAACCTGCCCGGGCATGACAAGTGCAGCTTTGGGCATCCCTTTTCATTTCATTTACAGCTGGGGGGAAAAACGCGTGCCACAAAATGCCCCACCAATTACATTTCGCAAATTAAATATCTGGCGAGAAATTATAAAAAACCCTCTTTCGAAACGCTTCCATGGCTCCATATTTTGCATCGTTTTTCCGCTCTTCTAATCGGCTTTGCCTCATAATTTATGAGCAGCAAAATGTTGAGTCGGGTGCTCTGGGCTCTGGGGCTCCAGCCTCCCAGCAACCCCAGTCTTTTGGGCGTATTATTTTTGTTTCGTACTAACCTGCAAAGAGCACAAAAAAAAAGAGAAAGAAATTGTGGATTAGTTTTTTTGAAGCGTATAAAAAACATTTGAAAAAAAAAGCAGCCGGCACGCCCTTT